GCAAAGAAAAATATTAAAATGATGTTTTTAGGAGCTTCTTAGTGTTAATTGTATGGCACAGAGCACGAGTACTTTAAAAACTTTTGAAAACAATATGTTGCCAATTTGGGTGTCGTATATCACCCAAATTGGCAAGATACTATTCATCATCAATTCAAGCACTGTTGGCAAACTCAAGATACTGTTCATCATCCATGACATTTTTTGTTCAAATAATTTATTTGTGATTGAGGCTCTACAGTATATATAACTTACACCAAAATGACTGAAATCAGTTTTTAATAAAGTTATTTTCTGTGTGTGTGTATATAAATAATATATATAAAATTAAATAAATGTGTGTGTAATATATAATTTATTTATTGAATGGATTATTTCGTATATTATCTCCTTTGATAAAGTGGTTAGAATTCTAGTGAAATAAAGTAACTTGTAAGCATATTTAAAAATGTATCCTGAAAAATTTTTTGTAATAGAAACATCAAAATTGAAAACTTTTAAAAAGATATATTTAAAATTGGAAATGTAATCAATAAATCAAGTAATTATCGTCATTGACCACCGATTAGTTGACTTTTCAAGGAAAACAACCCAACTTCCGATCAGTTAACAATAATTGATAAATCCGAAGGTGTTTTTATCTTTTTCTCAAGTAGGAATTATTATGCCAAAAACGTTTTTAGTGAAATGAGTTGATAAAGCTAAGTAAATAAAGTTTAAGTTAGATAAATTGAAGTAAATGCGCTGTATAGAATTCAGTGAGAAAGTGGCTGTTCCATCAAGTTTAAAAATAAGTTTCAAAATCGTGATATGTTATTGTAAGAGTGAGTTGTAGTTTGTTACTTGAGAAAAATGCCTCCGACATGCTCGCGTTTAATCACCTTAACTCAGTGTAAACTTTGTAAAGATAATGAACATAATGCAGTTTTTGTAAAACAATCAAACAAGTAAGAAAATTTCCAACTTGAGAAAAATGCCTCCCGACACCCTCGCCTTTAATCACATTAACTCATGTAAACTTTGTAAAAATAATGCAGTTTTTGTAAAAACAAACAAGTAAGGTGAATAAAATAATGTTCACAGAAAACAAAAAGGTAAAATTAAAAATGTAGATAATATAGATAAATTGCCAGAAGATGAATTAATTCACTTGTGTGTTTGCTAGTTTTTTAAAGCAAGGTAGGTTTGTTACTTTGTTTGTAATCAGAATGGAATTTGGAATTCGAATCAGGATGGAGAACACAGATGCAGAAAGAATGAGTGAGGATGTAGATGGGAACTTTTGGAATCTATTTTTAGAATGTGGGAAAGAAGTGGTCGTGGAACTTTCTTTCAAGTGTAAGAGATGTCTGTGTAAGTTTTGATTTTAAACTGACCAAACAAAAGAAATTAATTAATTTCTGTCTAATTGTCATAGCAGAAAGAGGGAAAACGTACTTAGTAAGCTTCACTCCTCAAGAGCTTTTAAGCAGACTTAGAAAGTTTGGAAATAGGCCCATTGTTTTGTAACAGCAATAAAGAAAATGCCAGAAATGATGATTTTTACATTATATACAATAACATCATTAATTACACTATTTACAAATCTTTTAACTAACAGTCATCTAACATATACCACATTTTAAGGTTTAGGAATAAATTTTCATATCCCTATCAGCCAAATGATTTAGTTTAAGTTTTTAACGCCTGCTCTGTTAAGACAATGATTAATAAAGTTATTTGGTACTTTATTATTTTTAAGAATTTTAATAAGTAGTAGAGTTATTGTATCTGTGCAAATACTTTTAATGCATTTTATTTCATGTAATATAGTATTACTAATAACTTTCTTGGAAATATTGAAAGTCCAATTTATTAATTTGTTAATATTAAAATTGAAGTTGTGTCTTTTGTCATGCAGTAGAATTTTTTTGTAGTTAATTATTTGAAGATCTATATAGTCAAGAGTAAGGCACTCTGGATAAATTTCTGAAGTTTCAATCTTGTTAAAATTATTAAAGGTAATAAGATCATGTATATATCTGTAAGTATGGGCATGGTAAATTAAATTGTGTTCCTGTAAATTTTTTGAAAGGTAAATTGTTTAATGAATAAAGAGATTACAAATGGATGTACTAGTGTGCTCTACCATTGGGATTCCTAACTTGCTTAAAAAGTTGATTTTGAAATTTAATGTAGTTATTAAAAATAGTGCATTTAAGGAAGGTTTTCCATCTAATAAAGTCTATAACTGTGAGCGTAACAGGAAAGATTTTAGGCAGATCGAGTAGGCTAGTAGAGATTTTTTCTAATGGAAGCGAGGTATATAAGTTTTCAAAGTCATAGCAGTTAATATTTTGTATATCAATAGACTGAACAGTATTAATAACAGGAGTGTTATTATTGATGATCCAGCAATAATTATGTTCAGTGTTACAATTATTGAAGATAAATTTTTAAAAAAAATTTAAGTGCAAAATAGTAGTCTAGGTTTTTATTGTAATTAGTGGTGCCATTTGCAATGAATCCGAATTTTTATGGTGTTTTATAGAATTTGGGAAGAGCACACATGTTAGTAAATCTGTTATACCTTGGATTTACAGAAATTTTGAGTTTCTTATGAAAAGTTTTAATTCTCTTAATTATAGAGGTTTCTGTAGTGTTTGCTAATTGATAAGTATTGATGTTAAAAAGTTCTTTAGCAATAATAGTTGTGTAGAAAAGTTTTCATATAATGCTATAGTTATTATTTGCTTTATCAATTTTGGTAATATTGAATAGTTGTTTTAAATTCTCAATAGTTGACACCAATTTAATTGACCTTGAAATTTTATTGGTTTTAGTTGAGTATTAATTTGCTTAAAGATTTCATTTTTCCATTTAAAAAAAGTATTGATAGGCAAATTGTGCTGATAGCTGGCTTTAACGATGAATTTGTTAATGCTATTTTCTAAATTTTTTAACAGTGATTTTTGTTGACATATCTGACTAGTCTATATTTTACTCCATAACTCGTGAGTTTTTTAAGTTGCATGTTTTGAATGCTATCCAAGTTTTCAGTAATTATGTGCTGGTGTTGATCGTCTACGTACAGACTGAATTTAGGCAATTTGCAATATCAAAATCGTAAAAACAACCTTGTATTTAGCGTAAGTAATATTGAAACACTCAATCGATTTCGAGGGCAGCTAAAGGTCCCTCCTCATCAGGAGAAAGAAATACCTAGAAAGAAGAAAATAAAGGGGAAGGAGTCTCAGAAACACGTGGTCCTTATCAGCACTGCACGTGGTTATAACTGGATTTTTAATGAGAGTTGCACTGGCCGCCTACTTTTACTGAGCCAGGCTATCTGATCAAGCGTAAAGGACAAGAAAAATTAGCGAAGTTAAAAATAGGGAGCGAGGGGCAAATGTACCTTCACGCTCAAAATCTGAACTTCAAATAATGGAAAGCAACCATTGAATGGATTTTTATACCCTCTGGTAGTACCAAACGCGAGGAGGTAGGTCGCTCCCTATTTTTAACTTTGCTAATTTTTCTTGTCCTTTATGCTTAATCAGATAGCCTGGCTCAGTAAAAGTAGGCGGCCAGTGTAACTCTCATTAAAAATCCAGTTATAACCACGTGCAGTGCTGATAAGGACCACGTGTTTCTGAGACTCCTTCCCCTTTATTTTCTTCTTTCTAGGTATTCTTTCTCCTGATGAGGAGGGACCTTTAGCTGCCCTCGAAATCGATTGAGTGTTTCAATATACTTACGCTAAATACAAGGTTGTTTTTACGATTTTGATTATCACATTAGCGTGTTTCTCTTCTAGTCTAATTTGCAATATCGTTCAGCCGACGTTTCTATTTCATGGTGGTTAGTTAATAACCTGCTTAATTATATATATATATATATATATATATATTTAAATGCAACTACTGGTCTGATGTCAAAAGCTGGAAAGAAAACTTTGCATTTGTTGAAAATTCAAGAGAAGAGTAATTTGTCAAATTGCAGATGGAGAAAATTGATTTTAATGTAAATTTTGCGTTTAGTATGATAGTTAGAAAATGTGTATTTACCGTAATCAAGAACTAGATCTTTAAATAATTTGTAAATTGCTGTATTGTGAACGAAAATATTTTTCAAGTATTAAAAGAAATTTGTTATTAAAAGAGTGTAACCAGGTAAGTAGTTTCTTGGGGAAATTTGCAGAATTAAATAAATTTTTTAATTGTATCTCAAGTTGGTAAAAAAAAATTATTGTTGATTCTACTTCCTCTTTTTCCTCTGCGTTTTGGTGTTGTAAGGTTTAAATTGGCTGAATATTGATTTATTGGAATTATCTTTGTGACTCTGAATGTAAGTATTAAGCCCATAAGGATAGCGTGTACAGTGTTTGAGATTCTCTTAGATATCTGAATTAAAGTATCTTAAGAAAATTCATTTCTATATATGATTTGCTGTGAAATTTAGCAACTCTGTTAAAATTGTTTTCTTTCTGGATGAAAATAATTCCCATTATACAGTATATTATTATTATTTCATAAAAATGAGAATATAAAAATGAATTCTGAAGCATAAACATGTTGCACACCTTATATTTTACTTTTTGGTAATCTTTTGAGCAGTAAATTTGCTGCAAGTTATTTTCTTGTTTCCAATTGTGTTATTTTTAAAAAGAGAGTGTTCTATGTATTTCTTTACCTACGGGCATATGGTTATAGAAGCATGATAAACATCCTAAATTCGCTTTCAAAAAGTTTCCAATTGATTAGTTTATATGTTATTAAATAATGTGGCTGTTTTAGTGTATGGAAATATATTTGTCTTCTAAACAGGTGTGGGATATGAAATTTTTTAGCATTACTCTATATTATTTGTATGGAGTATTTTCTATTTTACTTGCAACTCATTTTGAATATACTTATTTAATGTTTAATTTTATGATGCTCAAATTGATTTATTCAGTATCAGTTATATTTTATTATTTTGTGTACATACTACTATTTTCTAATTTTTTCCCCTACCTTCAGAATTAACAGCAGATGGGTTGTATAGAGCAAGTGGTAATCTTTCTCAAGTTCAGAAAATTAGAATTCATGTCAATCAAGGTATCTTTGTTCATTTTTTCATGCATCAGTTGCATTATTGTGTTATTTATTTTATTAGAATTCTAGTGGCAGGCATGATGCTCAGTGCTATTAAAAGTAGCATTTATGATATTTGACTTTATTATTTTGTTGGTTGTTAGATGAATTTTCATTCTGTACAGTGTGAAAATGGAAATTGATATAAAAAAGTGTGGGGGAAATTTTGTGTAGAATTAGAAGAGAGACTATTTCTACTTTAAAAATTGAGTGGGTATTAGCTTAAATTATTTTAATGCCATTTCATATAAAATAATGCAGTTAATGTTTATCTTACTGAATTTCAGTTATTTTTTCTTGTATGTAATCCTGAGTTGCGATTCAATTCATTAGTAATTAGAAGGTGAGAAAGTCATTTTTCCAATATGTTTTGTACGTCATAATCATATATTTCATAAAATGTTATTTAATTCACTATATCTGTAGTAAAAATATTTCATTCCTCATATACAAGGCTGGATTAAACCCCTGAGCCAGTGCAGGTTTTTGATTTCATCATGAAGACCTGTATTTAGACAGCATTTATTAACTAAATTTATATATTTACTTATTTTAGTCTCGGTTTTCATAAACTTACATTTATTAAGATAACGTTAATATTATTAAAAAGTAAAATATCTTAAATTATAAGCTAATATATATCAAGTGACAAAAAAATCTTGTGACCAGATAAAGCCAGTCATGGTGCTCAGAGGTTTAACCATTAAGCAAAATAAGCCATCAAGGAAAGGTAGCACCAAAAAAAAGTGCTCTTTGTCAGTTTTATCATGGAATGTATCGTGCAGTTAACCCAAAACTGAGAATTGGGGGGGGGGAATTGGCATAAAAGTATGTGGGGGCACAAAATCTTTTTAAGTGCTTAGGACCTTTAAATGTCTTAATCAGGTGTTGCTCATATATGGCAGTCATTTGAGGAGTGTAGGCCCATCGACACCAAGTACACTTCCAATGTAGTTGTTGCTGTTTTTTCCCGCCTTGTAAATTTGCATTATGCAGAAGTCGTAAACCTGAGTTCGCGCGTGTTCAGCTTTTTCATCCGCGACATGAACAAACAGCCAATAGCTGAGTGATTTCTGATTGCATGTCATAATCGGAAAAATCTTCTTGTGTACACTTTTTAATATAGTGTGGGAACCACATAGCAACGAATTTTTGTTATAAGACATCATAACTATCCACAGTTATAAAATCATCAGCATTGTTTACAACATGCTCAGTTCTCTTAAACCAAATATATTGGTAGAAATTTCAAATTCTCATTAAAGGGGAAAAACTGTATGTTTTCTAAAGCAATGATCTGACCAGTACAGTCAAAAGCCTTTAAACCAGACATCCATAATCCAGAATGATCTATAATCCGGACATCAAAGCTACAAACTTTCTGCGCATGTGTAAATGCATTATGCGTTTACACATGTGCATAACACCTTTACGCATGCACATAATACGTTTACTCATGCGCGTTTAATGTATAACGGACGGTATAAGCTAAGCTAAAATTATCTAATTATCTATTTCAGTTAATGTTGCAGATTGCATTGTTCCTTAATCTTCTAATTATATCAGGCTTATTATTTTTTGCAGACTGTTAGAGCAATTTTATAAAAGTAAACTTGACTTTTTAATTATGTCAAAAAGAATTTCCAATTCTGGAGCTGCCAAAGGATCTACAAAGCGAAAGCATGTTTCGATGTCCATCAAACAAAAAGTGGAATTGCTGCAAAAAATGGATAAAGGCATATCCTTTGTTTATCTAACCATTCCGAAATCTGTTTATCAATTTCACGCTGCTCTGCGGGGGGAAGACGCCGCGGTACGCAATGAACTGGAAGTTGATCTGTCAGCACTATCCTTATCTTCAGGGCAGATGTATTTATTTTATTCGGCTTATAATTCCTTACTAAATGTAGTATTTCATCTGGATGCACTCCGTCTTTGATATGATTTAAATCAAATTCCTCGTCTAAATATCACGAATACACATCAAATAGTTTTCTGGTTGCAATTTTCTAATTTCGACTATGCGTAATGTATGCTTTATGCATGTGTGCATTGAAAGAAATGTTTAATAAAGTAAACAAATAAGTAATAAGCGCCTTTTTTTTTGTAAATTTTGATGCCCGTTAGATCATAATTGCTCCTTATTTCATAAATTACAGTTTCATATTTTTAATTTTATAATTTCTGCATGCCATCTGACCAGATTTAAACTGATGACCTATATCCGGAAAAACCGATAGTCCGGAATCGCCGAAGTCCCGACGAGTCCGGATTAAAGACTTTTGACTGTATATCCATATGCTTCACCTGTATGTAATACTGTAAGCAGTAGGAACCTAAATGAATTACAATTTCTATGAAATCAAGTTCTCTGCCTTACAAAATTCTCCTTAATGATTACAAATGTTCATTATTTCATGTGGAACAAGAAGCTGTATTTCATATGTCAAATACCTCTATATACTAACTTCAACAAAATAACTTCTATAAAGCAGTTGACTGTGAAAGAGTATTCAATAAAATACAGCTAAGAAATTTTTCAGAACAGTTATAACCTGGACCATCCACCACTCATTTATTGAATATTGATTAAATTACCTTTGTGATGACTACTACTTATTCCCTTATTTTCTTTCAACTAAGTATCATAGGTAGCTGAGTGGTTAACATGCTGGATTGTAAAGGCAAAGATCGTGAGTTCAAACCTCACTCGTAACCACTGTAATAAGAGTTTTTTCCCACTTAGTGAATTTCTCTTTATCACTAGCTTTTCTTAATTTGAAGGATGTTTCTTATATTTAATCATGAATCATTTTATTCTCATTTTATATATTATTATTAATTATTGTTTTCAATTCTAATTTTATCTATTGTTATTGTTTTCAATTTAGTTTTAAAATGTGCACTGTACATAGAAACCATTAACCCATTGTGTAATGATATATCTGCATCTCTTATAGAAATTATCTCTTTATTTTTACCTTGTTGTTGCTTTATTCCTTTATTCTGTGCATAATTTTACACAAACTGCCCATAATTTGAACCTTGTTCTAAATTCAAAAATAAAAAATAAGCACTAATAATAAAATTATTTACATATTAATTTGGCAGCATCAGAACCATCAATCAACTTCCAACTGATAATAAATATTCCTTCTGTTTTAAGCGTATGAAGGCATTTAGTGTCATTAAGAAATAATGAAAAACATGGTTTGGTAAGACAAGTAATGAATTTAATCACTGAATATTTGGAATAAAAAATATTACTAGAATTAGCAGAAAATTCTAATATTAAGTAATCAGTCATCCCCTGTATATTTAACCAAAAGAAAAATATCAAAAGAACTATAGGCTCCTTTCCTAAGAAAACTTTTAATAGAATAAATGCTAATGAAAGCTGTTATTCACATCTGATATTCACAGGGCATAAGTATTTTAGCAAAGTTAATGTTTTACTTTAATTACAGGCATATTGTATAAAAGTATTATTTAAAAATGTTAATACAGAAATTGGTGGCCTTTTAATTTATAGAAATGAGCAATCACTTAAAAGCACTAAAAATCAAAATGTAATACTTTAATATTTTTATGTTTCAACATAAAAGGGCATATTTACTTTTGTTTAAAGAAAAGTTACATCATTTTAATCTTTTGCTGTGAATGTAATTTTCTTTATAATCCATTAAATTTAAATTTGCAATAAATGAATTTTATAGGATGAACTTTTCCCTTCTAATTTATATGTATAATAATTTGTAAAGAAAAATGAAAATATGAAATGCTTTACTTATTACACAGAATCTTTCACACGAACTCCCATACTGTACATAAACAAGCAAACCAGGGGGGGAACTATTAAAAAATATATGACTTGCTTCTTATGTTTTCACCCATTAAATCGGTGTACATAGATTTTGGGGGTAATTAGTGTCCATTTTCTTTTTTAACTCATTCGGTACTTTTCCATTTTGCTGGCGCAAATCTCACTAGGTAGTCTTTATTTGCCAAAATACATAGTTTACTATGACAAGTTGAAAGGTTGCAGCACCATTGAATTTTGTCCACAAAATACTAATTTATTTCATAATTATTATCACATGTTGCAATTTTATGCAAAACGCCTTTCACTGGAAAGAATCTGATGGTTTCTTCCTCTGTTCTGGGCAAATCCCAAATTTTCATCAGCTTTTCATCCATTTTTGACGTATTAGGAAAAAGAAGCAACTAAGAAATGGCTGCTACTTGTTTTGAAAAAGTGGCAGTAAAAGTTTACCAGCAGGGATATTCCATTTGGCGTAAGTTGTATCTTTTTTGGCGACTTGACTTATCACCTGTGCCAGTGAAATGGGAGAAGTACCGCTCATCCTGTTAATCTTTTCATACCTAAGTATGAAAATTTGCACAGTAATTAATTCTGTTTCATTATTTGAATGATTTTAGATGACTATTCTTGTTTGAATGAGGAAGAAGATGTGCATGTACTGACAGGAGCACTTAAAATGTTCTTCAGGGAGATGAAAGAGCCTTTGTTTCCATTTAATATGTTTGACCATTTTTTAAATGCCATTGGTATGTTGTGTTTTGTGTGTTATGTTGTTTGTCTTAAAATTAATGGAGTGGGTATTTAAGGATACATATAAGTAAATTTCATAATTAGCATTATGTTGCATAATTGTGTAAAAAAAGTTTACATAAGGCTAATGATTTGTTATATTGTATTTTTTCAGCATTAAATTTAATGTATTTCTTAATAAACCCTTGGTAAATACCTACTGCAAGTAATCATAAATTTTAGTTTAATTTATTGCATGTCTTGATTAATTTATTTCTAGTCTTTTAATATGCTAAAGATCTCTTCATAATAGAGTTATTCTGAACTTGAAGATAAAGAGAGCATGTGAAATTAAATCTTTACATAATTGTATAAAAGTCTAGAATATGACGTGACATTTAACAGATCTTGAAACTGTGAAATTGACAGAATTGAATTGATAAGTATATAGCAACTGCTGTAGCAAATGTGCATACCACCCAAAAACAAAAAAAAAATTAGGTAATTTGAAAAGTTGGAAGAGCTTTTTTAATTTTGCAGCTGTGTATACAGACAGGTAAATACTGACACTGCATTAGCAGTATATTAGATAAGAATGAGAAAGGCTTTACTGTAATGATGACCATAAATTCAAGCTGACCTGTGAAATAGATTATTGTGAAATGAACACTTAAAATTAAAATTAACAATTAAAAACAATTAAATATCAAAAATTAAATATCAAAAATTAAATATCAAAATTAAAAACCATTAAATATCAAAATTAAAAACCAGGTGCTGTGTTGATTATTGTCCATGTAAGTATGCTGCAAAAGCTGCAACAAGATGATCAATCTATATTTTACAGTATATTAAATCTTGCAACTATAAGAATTTTAATAATTTACAGAAACCACATTAGGTAAGACAAATTTTAAAAAAAAAGAACTGTAGCTACAGCAACTGTAAGCAAATTGCATTCAAATTATGTAAATAAAAAAAATAATGATGATGATCCAAAGTTGTATATCTAATTCAGTTCAAGAAAGTTCTTCAATATTTAAAAAAGTGTTAAAAATTACAGCAAAATGCTATAAATAAAGCTCATGCAGTATAAAACTGCATTAGAAAAGTTGTTAAATGCACAAATTTTAGATACTCTTATAATGAATTCTATTTAAACATTATATTCAAAAAAAAAATTTGTTTTGTGATATTTGAATCAATTCTTCTATTTTACAAATTAAATTTAATAGTTAACATATTTTTCTGTAAACTAAAGTAACCTGTGATACAGAACAAACTTGATTTAAATTTTTTTTATGCTAAGATTGTAACAAAGATTTTGATAACAAAGATTGCTGAGATTGTAACAAAAATTTAAGAGATTTAAGATTCTTTTACTGAAATGCATAATTGTTATTTCATATTAAGATTTATTTGCATGTGTCTGTAAAGGCAGATTATGTTAGCATATATTCAACTTAAAATATGAGATCTGATTTTCATTTCACAAATATCATGAACTAATAATGAGAAAACTTGTTTTTAATTATTTAGGTTTATGAAGATTACTAAAATCACTCACAGGGTAGTATATTTGTGCAAAGCTTCAGGAGACTTAGTGCTACGTAGGTTTGTTTATAAAGACATTTTTTATGCCATAAATTTTGACAGTCAGAAATATTGTAGCATTGCATTATGTCATCATTGTAAACTGGAGAAGCATGGGATGATCAAGATACAAAACAATTAACTGAATTAGAAGCTACTTAACAGTTGAATGATTGAACCCTATTTTGTTTTCTTCAGCTTGTACATGTAAATAAATGCTTGTCCACATGCTATCTTTGTGCATCATTGTGTATCCTAATCAGTTTGAGCAATGTATCCCATCTTTTGTTTGAAAAGGAAATGGCTGATTGTGGTAGTATAAGTGTAAAATTACAAAGGATAACATTTATAAGGATTATTTATAATAATATTATTTATAAGGATAGTGCTGTTGATGCTCTTCAGCAATGAGGAGACTGCAGTGAAAAAAAATGTCTTTTGGAAGGAAAGCAGAGGGTGATGTGATCTAAAGAATGAGTATGGCTGGTTAATTATGGCCACTTAGCTGTTTGCCTAAAGGAAGGTGTGTTTTTGTGGAGAATTTCTGAGGCAAATTAGTATTTATTTATTATACTGGATTGCAGAGGGGGGAAACATGAAATCCCCTTTCAGCCTCTATGAGACAAATTGTTGCTGTTTTGTTGTAACTTGCTTAGCCACTTCTGATTCATGAATAATGTGGCATTAAAATAAAATTTATGAAATTTTGAGAGCCATTGTCACTACTATGTTTTGCTTGGGTACCCAAAGTTTAAAAAAAAATCCACTTAAACGTCTTCTAGCACATAATATTCGAAAAAACTGTAAATGCTTTTTCTCGAAAAGGAAAAAAAAGTCTTATTGATGTTTGATATGTGCTAGTAATGTGGATATTCGTAAAAATCAAACCTTCATAAGGAAGCTCAGTAAATATTTCTGAGTTTTCTAATGTATAATAAGCTTTTTTCCTGTAGATTTTCATCCAGAAAAATGTTAGGCTATTTTAATAAGACTTAGCCTAACATTAAATAAAAGTGCATTGAAGGTAGAAAAACCTAAGAGAATTACTGAAGTAAAAAATCATGGAGGTACGTTTGGGATGTAGATAGCTTTCTTTTGCAAGATGTCCAGTAGGCCAATATTTTCCTTCCTCCAAAACATGCAGTCGATAGTTTCATTCCATATAACTGAATTTTGTTAAACAGCATTGTTCAAATGCTAACTTGTTCTGTTACTTTTGTGTCTATTATTATTTATATTTATTTTTAGCTTTACCTGATGCCAACAGCAAATTGGAAGCATTGAGGGACTTAGTGCTAAAATTGCCTGAACCAAATTATGAAACTCTAAAAGTTTTGCTTGAACATTTATTGAGGTATACTTTTTTTATATTCAGTTTACATTGGTATATAAAGCATTAATATAATTGTAAGTTTTTGGTGTATTGTGATTAGCATACCCACTAATTATACATTCCTGCTTTCCTTCCCCCCCCCGACTACATGAAATTAAAGCCTACTGTAATTGCATTGCTACATATTATGCTTTGTTTGGCACTGTAATTAATTAATGAGTTTAGTGCAGAACCTTTTGACCATTGTATTATATCCACCGTGTCATGCCAAGGTAACCTTCAAGTGAGCTCATCTGCCATAGCCCAAACTGGGAGACACATTCATCGTTCTTCTTTATAATTCTTTCATCTGAGGGGAAAATTTAATGTTTATTTTGATGCTTTTGTTCTATTTATGTTCATAATTAATAATAAAAATTGATAAGACAGTGATTATTCTTTATAATCGTGTCAAGCTTATTAGCATTGCCATTTTATACTTGTATTTGCATTGTCTATTTCTGTGTCGCTGTGACAGACTTTTAATATAACTAAATACCAGCTTGGATTAGGTTGTTATTTTTTTTTTTTTTTGGCAACCTCTTCTTTTTATAGAACCATTCTGTATTTGATTCATACCTGGGATATTATTAATCATTTATGACATATATATACCAACTTCTATGCATTTTTCATAATTTTTATGGAAACCTCTGTATTTTTATGATTTTGTGCTTAAAGATATTTTTATGATTGCATTATTTTTCTAAAACTATCCCAAATTGTTCCGTCATGACGATTTGCCATATTTGTAAGGTCAATTAATTATTTTTATTTCCCTTTATGGTTACTGTCAGATATAACATAGTGAAGAATGGTAACCTTTCAAATTTGAATCAACTTTGAATTAGCATTCTTCTCTACATGATTAGACAAATCCACATTTTGCAGGGAAGAGGACAGAAATGTTAAAACATTTCATCACTTCTACATTCTGATTCTGGGCATCACTAGATTTGGCAATTGTCATTTTACTGTGTTTGAGCCTGGCAACATTTGAGTTAATGATTTGTGAATTTCTTTTGCGATTTTTTAAAAATGTATTAACATTATTGTTATGTCATTAAAGTTCTGATATTGTAGTAAAATTATATAAAATTAAAGCATATATTCCCCTTTGTGGCTTTAAAATAATCTAAATTCCATGTTTGGGCCGCCCAGACAGTATAGTGGTTAGAGGAGCCAACTGCGATACCAAAGGGCCTGGGTTTGAATCCTGGAGAAGGCATGGTTGTAACTGTCCGTCCCTTCACAGGGGGGGCAGAGGTGGCATACCTATTAGGTGCCTCCATAATAAAGTGACCACCACTTCTGGCCTTAGTAGTGGCCAAGCCGAAGTCAGCTTAGGCCCCTCCATTAAAAAAAAAACTTCCATGTGTGTAATTTTTTTGTTTTTGGGCAAAATCTTGTTAAGCCGATCTGGAAATATAAAATAAATTGATGACTGCAAAATAAGTATGTTATATATTGCTTACACATGGTTGATAACGTGAGTGATATTTACTACTGTTTTAGACCAGCTTACAAGATTCAATTTCTTTGTATTAAAGAATTATGCAAAGGAACAACATACATAGATGTGGTTTTATAATATCTGACTGTGGAGAAAGTGCTATTGTGAAGTGATTGATATCTTTGGATACAAATTAGAAAGTTTTCAACTTTTTTTAAGCAGTTCTGATGGTGAAGTTAGCTTTACTTGGGCTGAGTATCTGTTTATACAAAACATTCAGTCAGTATTCGTCCTTTGTGGTCTCTTCGTGGCCAGGAATGGTGACCCTGGGTTGATGGTGTAGTGTTCGAGGATTAAGAGAAAGTTCTTTTAAATTCCATAATGTTCCTGTATTGGAGCCCCAGATGTATAGCAAAGCTGAATTGTCTTTTTCTCTTCTTTTGGAGATGGTTTGTCATCAACTGACACTCCTACCTAGTACAGAGGCAGTTCAAGGGGAGGCACCTTAATTGTATTAAGTTGTAGAAGTGGTTAAACATACTCAATGATTGATAATCAAATATGATAACATTGTTCTTTGACATTTACTATCTCAAAGTTATCAACTTTATCCATTTGCATCGATATTGTACTCATTAAAATTATTTTTCCCTTTTATTCTAAATATGTTAGCGAAATAATCTTTTTTTATTTATACAGTGTGATTATGTTTTCCTGTTCTTGTTTTCTACTTCTACCTTTTTATCCTTTTACTTATTTATGCAGTCTGTCAGATTAAGTTTCCTTGTGATATAAATGCAAATGCATGAAATATCTTTACAGATGCTAAAAAATTTTTGTTGTATAGATTTGTGATTAAAAAAATGAAATATATTAATTTTGCATAGTGTTTTATATTATATAAAAAATAAAAATCCTCATTTTATATAGTTCTGTGGCAATTAGCATTTATGTTTCTAAAATTAACAGGTATATACAGATGTGAGATGTTTAATGCATGATAATAAAGATTGTGAACAATGTTTGTTTCTAAGGCTTAGCCCTCAGTGCTTTTTTGTTCTTTTGAATGTCCTGATCAATAGCCATCTTCTGAATATTCTGATCAATAGCCATATCATAACCATAGTCCTGATCAATAGCCATAGAAAATTATTAGTGCATTTTCTAATAAATTTTCATTGAGAAGCTAATTTTACTTTTTTAGTAGACTGATAGATAACTTTCGTAATTTCACTTGATGAAGGCATCTTAATAATAATAAATTCCTTTATTGTAATGATTTAGTGCCTTGTTGACTTATATATGGAGAAAATTTTAATATATATGTATATATATTTTTTAACAGGGTTACTGAGTTCCACAAACAAAATCGAATGCAAATACAGAATTTAGCTATAGTATTTGGACCAACTTTAATGTGGCCGGAACAAGCATCTAATAATATAGCTTTAGATATGATGCATCAAAACAGAATTGTGGAATTTCTTTTGTTAGAATTCAGAGCTATTTTTCCATCTAAGCATCCTTCGTCTAAATAGACAAATCAAGGGAACATATTTAATATTTAAGTAGATGTGTAAGTCATGTGTATATTAATGTAAGAATGAACATTTTTAGGTGTATGTATTTTGTGTATAAAATATAAATGTATACAGATATATATATATATGCACACACACATATATATTTGAAAATGTGTCAAACATCTCTTCTTTTTCTTTTGCACAATTTTGTGATTTTGCCAATGTTCCTAGCAAAAGAAATAACATATACGTTTACAATGTATGTGTGACCTAGCTGTAAGTAGCTGTAAAATTGTGTGTATGGGAAATTTTTAATTTGGAAATATATTAATTTTTTTTTAATTTGTTTTCTTTCCTCTTATGTTTTGGAATTTTCCTTTGTTAAAAATGTATGTTGGGATTTTTTTAAAAATGAGATAAACATATTTCAGATTGAAAATTTTACTTTGCTAGTAGAACTGTGAGTAAGAGACTAATTTCATAGCAAATGGTCTTAATCAAAAATTTATCCTGCATGGTAGAGTTTTATCATTCCATTTCATGTAGTTTTTTTTTTTTTTTTTTTTTTTTTTTTTTTTTTTAATTTTAGATTTCAGGAAGTCCGATAGTTTATAATTTTCCCTTAGATGCTGCTTATAGCATAAGATTACAGTGAACCATTTCTTATCTTAGATTATAACATTAGTGTTTTGTAATATGTTTAACTCTACTATTTAAATAAATAATGATGTTTTTAATGAAATGTAGCTGTCCTGTGAGAAGGTCGCAAAGACAATTTTAAAGTACTTTTTCTTGTTAGCTTTTTAAGTTGTTTTCCTATTTCTTTTCATTAAGAAATTTTAAATATTCTTTTGGACCAAAAATTTTCAGAGATATGCTGTTTGGGAAAACAAAAATTTCCTCCCAAGGCAGTCACTTTTTCTCAGTATTAAATGCCTTGAACATTATTAAGCTTGGGCTGGCCCACAAGCTCTTTCATTCATTTTATTTTATGCATAGTGGCTGTGTTTCTTGATATGAAACAATTCATCAAATAACTTGATTAAAATACCCTCTAGTATTTAAAACTTGTGCAAATTGATAATAAAGTATTTTTTATTACCACTAAAGATTTAACTTTAAAAAAAAAAAAAGAGAGGCTGAAGATTTTTAAAAAAAAAGTGTGTGAGAATTTTCCAGCAACAAAGGATGCGTGTTTCTCTAAGCACACATATTTTCTTCTGATAGATGCAAGTTTAAACAGGATATTTAATTCTATTCTTGGTGGTAATTTATGTGAATATTATATTTTTTCAGACAGTAGATCTGTTGAGTATCAGTTAATATTATTATCAGATAATTCATGCCGAATGAGATGATCAAAATTCTTATTAAGAATTATTTATGGGCTTTCTGTGATATCATTAAAAATCATTAAAATTGATATTCCTTTTGACGCACTAAGCAAAAGAAGAATATTGTAATGTATTAATTTTTTAAGAGAATATTCTTGTGGGTTTACTTAACATAAGGTGCTTAACTCTTTATAGCAAGAAAGTATTATATTTTTTCAGCATGCCATAAAAAATCCATTCATTGTGTGAAATAGTAAAAGACTATAGAGCTTTAGTTGTTATTAGTAATAAAGGATATATATTTTTCTGTATAATATGAATGAACATAATATCAGAGCAGTTTTGCAAGTTGTAAAAAGTATAAAATTAAACTATTTTTGGTGACTTTTAAAAACCTGAACTTGCTGTATGTAAAGGGTTTCATTATTCTTGTTTTCATTTCATGAAGTGCCTATATAAATGTGTGAAAATTAAAATATTTTACTTCACATAAACAAACATCTTTTTGCCATGTTTTGAATTGAAAGTTTGTTGACAAAATTGTTAAAATAAAAATTTTCTTTATCTATGATGTGATATTTATTCTATATTCTGATAAAACCATATGCTGCCTTGAAGCCTTTTTTAAGTATATGTAATGCTATCTGTAATGTCTTGATGATTGGGTGATAGCTCCAATCAGTTGGCTGGAGATGGTTACATAGTAACATCTTAGTGAAGGCTTTTATGCATAGATACAGAGATGACATTTACAGGCTGAAAACAAGACATAATTTTATTCCTGGACAGCTACATTGAGACGTATTTTTCCCACAGCATCATGGGTGTATATGCACCTCACAATTTTTGTAAGTTTAACATTTTCAGACAATGGACAATAGACAGCAAAGACAAACTGTGCATAAGGCTTTCTGCTTTGCAGGATTGCTTAAGAAACCATGAAACAGAATAATTTTGGAATGTGACACCCACACACACTATATACTGCTGGCCAATTAAAATTGCAACATCAGAAAGGAACAATCTGACGAACATCAAAATCACATAAAAGGAAGAACAGGTTGGGATGTGTAAATGATTAGTATGCGAGTGCATTTAGATGACACAGGAAGGAGAAACGACATCTGAAGCACTGCATAAAAGAAAAGTTGTGTTGTGGATTTCTCATTGGAAAGCGTTTTGTAAGGTCGGGGTTAGCAAGTGTCAGAATTTGATAGAGGCAGGATTTTCGAGCGTATGGATTATCATTCCATGATATCGCCTTTCGCACTGGTTGACATCAAACCACTGCCATGCGAATATGGAATCAGTGGGTTACTGAGGGTCATGCTAAACAGCATGCAGAATCTCAATGCCCTCCCATGACTAATGCCCAGAGGACAGACATATTGTGATTAACTCCTGCAAAACCGTACAACCACATCACAGACCATTAGTCATGAAATGTGCATGTTTTGTAGCATGGACTATTAGCACGGTGGCCAATATTTCATCTTCCCTTTGCCACTGCAGCATACAGAGAGAAGGCAACTCTGGTGCACCGAATGACAAAGCTCGCTACAGGAGTACCACAATGTCATCTTTTCAGACGAGTTCTGGTTCTGTCTGCAGTATTCTGATGACCGTATACATATTTGGAGGCTCCGAGGAGACTGCACGCCGCTTGCTTGCATGCGATATCAGCATAGGGGCTGTGCACCTCTGGTGTGATGGTTTAGGTGGCCATTGGGTATGTGTTATGCACATCTCTGGTTTGGATCAACGATAATTTGAAAGCAGATTAGTACATTTTTAATGTCTTTAAGTCCAGTGGTTATGCCCTGCCAAACACCATCTTCCAACAATGCAAGACTGTATGTTGCACGTTCTGATCTGACCTTCCTCGATACACAGGGTATTCATTTGATGCCCTGGCCTGTACAGTCTCCAGATCTCTCACCCATTGAGAACATTTCGTCATGGGTTGCCGAAAGACTGGCCTGCCACCCCTCTCCAGCTAATACGGTTGATGAAGTGTGGCATAGCCTTGAAGCAGCATGGAATCAGTTGCCCATTTCAGTTGGAACACTGGTGAATATCACTGGAACATTGGTGAATAATAATTTTACATCAAAAGAGTGAAGTTTTACATCCAGTGGAGGATGCATTAAGATGTCTGGAAACCAGACTTCTCGAATTTCATTTCTCTTGCATCGAAATTGATGAGCTAATTTCTCTCACTCAACTCTGTTTGAAAGAAACACATTTTGTTTTCCAAAATGAATATTACAAGCAAACTGAGGGATTAGTCATGGGAAACTCCCTCAGTCCCATCCTGGCTGATATCTATATGCATTATTATGAATCAAAATTGTTTGAAACTTTAAATGTCCCGGTATGGTTCCTCTATCTAGACGATACTTTCACCCTGTTTGAAGGTAATAAAGATGATTTCAATAAAGTTCTTTCAACAATGAATTCTATTGATCCTGCTATTCAGTTCACTTTAGAACTTGAGACTTGCAATTCTCTTCCATTTCTCGACATTCTGGTCACACACAACACATCCAGCTTCAGTACTACGGTTCACCGTAAACGTTCATCGGTTTGCCTTGATGAAGAACTAAATTATTTAAAAGTAATAGCTATTGACAGGGGCTTTTCACCCAATATTATTAATCAAGCAGTTAAAAAATTCTCATCTCAACACACTAAAAGGCACACTTTTGTTTTAGGAGATTATAAAAATTCTGTTGTCATTTCCTTCTTTCCATCAATTAGCTATAAAGTTGCACATATTTTGCAGAAATTTTAACTTTTGGGTCGTTTCTTCTCCCATCAAAACAATTCCGAGTTCCATACTCAAGGACCCCATTCCGGATATGAAATCCTGGGGTATTTATAGGATTCCTTGCCAGTGTGGTAATTTACATTGGTCAAACTAAGAGAGCCTTAAAATTTCGTGTCAAGAAACATGAGGCATATGTTAGAAAAAAGGAAACACAGAACTCTTCTGTTGCTCAACATTGTTGGTCCGAAAATCACACTTTCAATTTTTCTGCTGCCAAAATTATTCAAAAAACATCTTCCATTGGAGAACTGGATTTTCTAGAGGCATTTCACATTCAAAAAAATCTTTCTGTTCTAGTTAAAAATCCTAATTCCAATCCATCTTTGCCTTCGGCCTTTAAAGAAATTATGTTTTAATTCTGGTTTCACCAACAGATGGCACCAATAGCTTATTTTCTGTCCAGGCTTTCTTATCTTATCTAATCATTATATCCTATCTCGTTCATTTGTGCTTTTGCAGCTGAGGATGGTGATTTGGTAAAACCATTGAAACTAGTCTTGTGAAAATTTGAAAATATAACACTGATTTTTGTTGTTTGACTTCTGAATTAGTATTTGTTCGGCGTGTTATTGTGTCTTAATTAAAGACATGTTTTTCCACTAAATATTTTCACGTTGCAGAAGTTAAGCCTGAGTAAGAACTTTGAAGGTAGAAGTTAGATAAGGTTTTACTGATTTCTTATATTTAGCATCATTAGTATGGAAGGTAATTTTATATGTTTGGAGTGTTCGAAGACGTATTCATTCTGACGTAATCTACGGGCGATACATCTACAAAGGCAGAATTGCTGAAGCATTTTGAAAACGTCTATGGATAGATGTGTTGTAACTGAAGATTTGCAGTCCCCTTTTCAAGAATTTACTGTATGGAAAAAGAGCTTTGAAACCGAGACAAAATGCAGTTTTTTATTTGAACGTGATGTCCAAAAAAACAAATTCAGATACTCACTACTTTTTTGTGTGTCATTGTTCTAGTGTTTATACACCAGAAACTAGAAGGAAGGTGTTTATATCGTTCTGTTGTTTATACACCAGAAGCTAGGTGTTTATACACTAGAAGATGTCTAATATCACTACCTTCTGGTGTTTATAACGAGAAGGCAGTAATATTACACATCAATCTAACTAGTTACACTAACTAATAAATCTATCTGGTCAAGCAAAAAGTTAATTATTGTACTTGCCAACTTACTTGTACTGAATCCAATGCATGTATTCACAAATATACTTGTACATGTGTGGATGCAAGTATAAAAGGAAATATGTGCAAGCATATCCATTCTGTATGTCAGTTGTCAATCTATCATCCAATGGCAAGTGATGCCCTATGCATATTTCTCAACCCAAATTATATTTTCCAATAATGACAACATAGTCGTGATATTAGACATTTTAAACTACAGGGGTCAAAAAAGAAAAATAAATGCATTTTGTTCAGCAAGTATTACAGTTATTGAGACTGATGGAAAATGCTGTGTTCAGTACTTGAAAACTCATGTTGGACGTAAAATTGAAATTGGACATATGTTTCTTTCAAAGGAAGCTAGAATGTATTTAGCTTCCAAGATTGCTGCTGGTATTCCTTTCGAAAGGATTTTAGGTGAAATTCACGATAATATTGCAGATCAGACACGCATGCATCTAGTCTCTCGCCATGATTTACATAATATTGAATTTCAATTAAATCTGTCATCTGTAAGACACACAGATGACGCAGTAATTGTCAACTCATGGGTTTGTGAAATGGAGGGCACAGAAAATTCTTGTGTGTTGTTTTATAAACCACAAGGACAGCTAAGTGACATATACCCTGAGCTTAACCTTGAAGATTTTATACTTATAATTATAAATGAAGCTCAGTGTTACATGTTTTAGAAAAATTAGGTAAGGACTGTGTTTGTGTTGATGGAATAACTATGGGTTCGAACTTATCACACTGTTGGTGCTGATAACCTTCGTCAGGGGTTTCCATGTGCTTCTGCCTATGTAGCAGAAACGATCAAACAGTAATGGCACTGTTTTTTTTTTTTTTTTTTTTTTTTTTTCCCGCATATTCAGAAAGCATGTGGAAATATTCAGCTTGACATATTTATGTTAGACATGGCCAATAATTTTTTTAACGAATGGTTCCAAACCATGCCAACTCCAAAAAATGGCTTTTCTGAAGCTGGATAGAGCATGATGAACACAATTCAAAAAAGTAACTGTTATGGACTGTAGCTACGAAATAGCGAAACTAATTTTCTTTTAAATCCATCTTTTATTTTATTCGAAAATTAACCGCTCAATTAGCAGCCATTCAAAAATTCCAAGCAACAAATTTCTCATCGAAAAAGCTAATAAAAGGAATTACAAAAAAACAAACGATATTGACGCATGCATGTTACAAGATTCGTTGCTAAGCAAACTAAGTTAGAGGCGAAAGGTTTCGCATAGTAGATGATCAGGCGCCAACATCCCGCCCGGCGTTGAAATACTAATTCCAAAGCTAATATAAATTGTTTAAGAAATTCAAAGTTTGATACATATATTAGTTAGAAACGATTAAATGCAATAATATATCTATTACACAAATAACAAACAAATTACTACATTTTACAATAAAATAGATATGCAATATTAGTACAAGTAATTAGATAAATTCACTACATCAATTGTTTAAAGGTAAAATACGTAAGTTCGATATTCCACGTTTTATCAGCCTTTTCAAATCGGCGTTGGCTCCAACGAAGATGGTAGCGT